CTCGAGCTGCGGTTCCGAGGGGGAGAGCGAGAGCCCGGAGGAGGAGCGACCCGCGCCGGCCTCTGCAGCGTGAGTAACGGAGCTACCGCCCTTCTCGCGCCCGGGGCCGAGGGCGGGGGCAGGGGGCTCCCGGCTCCCCTGAGGGCTTTGAAGTGCGGCGGGTGACTTGCCGCCTCCAAACCCGTCCTGGCGGGAAGGAGATGCAGCGACGTGAAGCCGCCGCCGCTTTCGCTGCTCAAAGCAAAGCCTCCCTCTGCATCGCCTCCTCCGAGACGGGAATCTGCGTAGCCAGCTTGGCCGCTTCCGCCCCGCCCGCTTTCAGACCAACCCATACCCTTGAGGTTACCGCCGCCTCCTTTAAACTGTCCCGAAGATGTGAGCATTGATACGACTCATGCCTGAAGCCGTGGCCACGTTTTCTGAGTAACTAGATGTTAACTAAATTACACGTGCTAATTTTCTTAATCTAATCCTAATTTTCAGGTAAAATAAAACATTGGAGGAAAAGCCCAAGTGTGAATTTCACTAAGAACAGGAGAAGGGATGATTTTGTAATAAATGCAGAGAGCTGGAAGGATATCTTGGTTCAGTGTTGCCATAGATTTCCTTTCTGACCTTTTCGTCTGTCATTGTTTGCCTCAATTTACCTAATTTTAAATGTGAATGCTTCCCTGTTTCATAAGCTTCAGAGGAAGTGGGCTGTGCCCGCAGATGATCCCATCTATATGTTTTGTTTTATAAAGTGCTACCAGACCATTTGTTGTTTGTTTTCCCTGTTTAATTAGATTCTTAAGTACTGTCCTGATAAGCATCATTCTTGAGATGAGACAGTAGGCTAACCAGCATCTTAGGGCCATCATATAGGGCTTTTCAATAAATGTTTAGACCAAAACAATCTTTTAAGATTGTAAATGTATGTATTATAAGTAACCTGAGAACTAGAATTTCTGGTTTGTAGTGTTTATATTAGAATGTATAGATGATTTTACATACCAATGGACTTATTTTCCATAGAGGTAATAGAATGTGTATCTGATTACAGACATTCAGGAAGAGGCAGTCCCTACCTCAAGAACTGAAATAATTGTAAAAGATCAAAAACAGACTATGGTATGGGGAGAAACAAACAACAGGAAAGGAGAACTTTCCGTTTTAAAATAATTGTCTGTTTCTGAAATTGACTGTTCCTGTTGACCATGGAGATCTAGAAAGACCACTACTATCCTTGTCAAGAAACAGTGTTCAGCGTAGTGAAATTGAATTTTTTGGGTGTATATTACAAATTAAAACCATCATGTTTTCATTCTGTTACTTTGATAATTCATTGGCTTTAATAGAGGCCATATGCATGCTTTCAAAGTGTTTCATATTTATTACAAACTACTGTTTTGCTTTCTAGCAAGGAAGTCGTCAGCAGACTGTACAGTTGCTTTGTTTGGGATGTAGAGCCTTTTGTTTGCATCTTATGTCTAAAAGTAATGGTTGTAGTATATATTTAAAGGACTCAGTGCAGTTTCAATGTTCTGAAATCTATCCTGTTACACAGTGATTCTGAAAGTCATGGTGAATAATCATCTAAACATGAATTTACAAGTTCAGTGTGTTGGTCAAAAGGGCTAATGCAGTCCTTGAGTGGATAAGCAGGAATTTCAAGTAGGAATAGAGGACTTATCTGTCTACTGTATTTGGCACTCGTGCAACAATTCAGAAGGAATGTTGATAAATTGGAGAGCATTCAAAGAAGAGCCATGAAACTGATTAAATTATTAGAAAACCTGCCTTTCAGTGACAGACTGAAGGATCTCGGTCTCTTTATCTTAACAGAAAGGTTACGGGGTGACTTGATTACATTCTATAAGTATCTCCATAGGGAACAAATAAGGATCTCTTTAATGTATCAGAGAAAGCTGTTAATCCAGTTCCAAAGTTAGAAGTTGAAACGAAATTTAGACTGGAAATAAGACATTTTTTTAATAGTGAGAGTAATTAACCATTGTTCCATTTTAGCAAGGTTTTTGGTGGATTTTCTTGCTGGTTATTCTAAAATCAATATTAGATATTTATCTGAAAGATGTTCTAGGAATATCCTAGGAATTATTTTTGGAGCATTCTGTGGTACAGGATATCAGGCTATTATTACAGTGGTTCCCTTCTCACTTTGGACTCTATGAATCTATGATGGTATTGGTCATTTATTGATCAGAGCATTAACTTGGAGCCAGGTAATCTTGATTCTGTTCCTGCCACTGACACAGTTTTAAAAAAAACCTAAACAGTGGTCCCATAGCACCTTACGGACACACAATATGTAAGTAACTAGCCAATTAGCCCGTCATAAGATGGGATTTTCAGATCTTCTCTCCTGAGCGCGTGCTTGTGCACGCGCTCGCTCTCTCTCTCTCTTCCTACTGCCTCCCCCGCACTCTCTCAGCTCTCCTCCGCCTCCTGCCTCTTTCTCCGTCTTTCTTTCTCTTCTCCCCCTCCTGCCTCTCACTCTCCCTTTCTCTTCTCCTCCTCATCCTGCCTCTCTCTCCCCGCCC